TCTTCTTCCAATGTGTGGCAGAGAAAAAAAAGGGTTGGACACCTCTGCCATCAGATGCAAGGTGCACTTTGGAATGCGTTGGCTGGAAGTATTAGAAAACCCAGTTATCAAAGATTTATGTAAGTCTCAGGCCATCCAGAGCTGGGGCAGCAGCTCAGCAGAGTCATCCGAGACGCAGGCAAGCCCTTCCTCTTCATTACCTTAGCATGTGGCTGTTGTCTTATAATCACAAAACAGCTGCTTCAGCTCCAGGCATCCCTCCAATACTCAAGGTAGAGAAAAAAGAGGCCATATTTGTCTCTTTTAGAAGAGAAAGGGAAAAGCTCCTTTAGACAAATTTCTTAAGACTCATGGGCCAGAAGTGTGTCACATGCCTTCTGCACAAGCTGTGATGGAGACTTTTCCAGTCTCTTCAGTTGAAAAAGACAAGAAAGGGGTTGAGGATGAACAGGTTTTATGTTAGATGACCAACAATGTCTGACATGTATCTGATAATCAGTCTGGTTCTTTTAGCATAAGGCTTAATGCTGCCTTAGAAACTCAGTTATAAATTCTTTCTCTAAACTATTTTTTTTGAGACAGAGTTTTAATATGTCGCCCTCAGTAGAGTTCTGTGGTGTCATAGCTCACAGCAACCTCAAACTCTTGGTCTTAAGTGATTCCCTTGCCTCAGCCTCCCAAGTAGCTGGGACTACAGGTACCTGCCACAACGTCCAGCTATTTTTTATTGCAGTTGTCATTGTTGTTTAGCAGGCCTGGGCCAGGTTCAAACCCACCTGCCTCAGTGTATGTGGCTGGTGCCCAGAGTCTCTAAACTTTAATAATAATACATGTATGGTGTTCTTATTAAAATATACTTTTTATTTATTTTTTGAGACAGAGTCTCACTTTGTTACCCTTGGTAGAGTGCCATGGGTGTCATACTGTGTCATAGCTCACAGCAACCTCCAACTATGAGGCTCAAACAATTCTCTTGCCTCAGCCTCCCAAGTAGCTGGGACTACAAGTACCTGCCACAATGCCTATCTATTTTTAGTTGGGTCCCACACTTGCTCAGGCTGGTCTTGAACTTGTGAGCTCAGGGCAATCCACATGCCTCGGCCTCCCAGAGTGGTGGGATTACAGGCGTAAGCTACCACGCCCAGCCTAAAACACAATTTTTTTGCTTTCATTTTTTCTATATCTCATTTATTTCCTCCCCAGGGCAATCCTGGTGAACAACATCCAGAAATTATTTCTGATTTGCTCAGAACACTGACGCTCTGATAGGACTTACAAGACCCTAGGTCTCCGAACTTCTCACCCAGTGTTTTTCTGTTGTTACACTGCCTCTCTGATTTCACATTTTATCAACTTAAGAGAACTTGTTTTTCTACTGGATTGCTCATGAAATCAGCCGACTGAGATTTTCCTCATTTCCTGACTAACACACAGATCACTGTTTTTTTCAACATAGTTCTAGAAACAGGAGAGCAGCTCACGGGTAGGTTTCTGCAGGAAGTCAGTGAAATAAATATTGTAGTACTCTCACAGATCAAGCTATGCAACTGTTTCAGCCACAAAACCAAACATGAATCCAAGTAGAATGTAACAGAAATGAGAGTGAAGGATCTGCCACAATTAAGTGAGCTTGAATAAAGGGAAAAGGGAGCCCAGCATGGGGATGGGTCCCAGCAGCTCAGGAGGCCAAGGCAGGAGGATTGCTTGAGCCCAGGAATTAGAGATTGTTGTGAGCTATGATTGTGCCACTGCACTCTAGCCTAAGTGACAGAGACCCTGCCTCTTAAAAAATAAAAGGGGTCTGTTGTCCAGGATGGCTGGCTCACAGCCATCTTATGGGTCCTCCAGCTTCTCAAGGCACCCTTGTTAAAAAAGGCATTCTGTTTCATTTGATTCTCAATGAGGATGTGGCTTTATATTATAAAAATGTCCCATGGTTTGTGTTTTTAAGCTAACTTATACATTACAGATCTGTGACATGTGGGCAGGAGGCCTCCATGCCCAGCTCGGTCCTGCGCCGTGGGCAGCAGCTGGCATCCAGGCTGGTGGGCTTCCCGCCTTCCCGGTGCCACTGCCTGCACGTGCTTATTCAGAGTGACACTGGCTTGGCAGCCAGACTTTCCTCACTCTCCATCGGAAGTTGGCTCATCATTAGTTAAATAAGCTTTCTGTGTTTTAGTGGGGAGCTGTGTGTAGGGACCTCTGCACAACTCCCTGAGGTTCTGTATCCTGTTCAATCTCTGTGCCACTTCCCAAAACTCTTGGTACAGAAGTCAAAAGCTGCTCTCTGAGCCCAACAGGGCTATCAGCACCCTATTTACAGGGTGACTTTTCTCGCCTTCCGCTCCCCTCTCAGCTACTTGCCATTTCTCCCTTCCCTGAGCCAAGGGGGTGAGGGGGTGGCACATTGGCTGTCACCTGCCAGACTTGTTCTGTGCAAAAAAGAGCCTCTGGATGCCCTTGGGGACGGTGGCCTAGGTTCACACACTGTATCTTGCTCAGACAGCTGACCTGAGGAATCAATCTACCTTAAACAGAGCTGAGGGGAAATGCCATCCCCCCCTTCACAGCACTCCTTCAGAAAAGGGAGAGAGAAGTAGGAATTCCAAGAAAAAACTAAAACAGGATGTGGTTGAAATCTGGTTGGGTTTGGAGATTGACCTTGTCTTTAAAGCAGCAGCATTTGGTTTGAGTCACCCAGACCTTTAAGAATCTGATGAAAGGTACAAATCCTTTTCCCAGAAAAACTGTCAACTATCGCATGAATAATTTACCTACAATCTTGTGGTTTGCTGATTCTCTCCCACAATCCAGGATTAGCTGGGACAGAGGATGAGGATTACTATTTTAGAAGAAAGAAGTTGATATCAAAAGTACTTCTAAAGGTGGCTGGGAAAGAACTCTTAACTACAAAGACATTTCCAAGAACATCAGGGAGTGCAGAGCGAATGCCACGTAAATGAAGAGCAGCAAGATCACTTCAATTCACGGAGAGTCCACCTGCTCTTGTTCTAGCTGTAAAGCTATTACGTATGCTAATTAACCTGTCAATCTCTGTCGCGGGTGTCCAGGGAAGAATGATCCCTTCAAAATTACAATTGATCGATCCCTCTGGAAGTGATTTTTTTTTTTGAGACAGAGTCTCACTATGTCACCCTCGGTAGAGTGCTGTGGCGTCACAGCTCACAGCAACCTCAAATTCTTGGGCTTAAGCCATTCTCTTGCCTCAGCCTCCCAAGTAGCTGGGACTAAGGCACCCTCCATAATGCCTGGCTATTTGCTATTTGTTGTTATTTTTTTAGAGACAGAGTCTCACTTTATTGCCCTTGGTAGAGTGTCATGGCGTCACAGTTCACAGCAACCTCCAACTCCTGGGCTTAGGCGATTCTCTTGCCTCAGCCCCCCGAGTAGCTGGGACTACAGGCACCCACCACAACACCTGGCTATTTTTTTGTTGCACTTTGGCTGAGGCTGGGTTTGAACCCACCACCCTCGGTATATGGCGCCTGGTGCCCTACTCACTGAGGGGTGTCGCCCACTATTTGCTATTTTTTAGAGACGATGTCTTGCTCTGACTCAGGCTTAGTCTCCAACTCGTGAGCTCAGGCAATGCACCTGCCTCAGCCTCCCAAAGTGCTGGGATTACATGCGTAATCCACTGCATTGGCCCCAACTAAGTGATTTAAACAACAAAATAATTCAATCTCACAAGATGATTTGTTTGCTTTTGTAAATTTTTGTTTTGCTTCCTCCTGTTCATTTCAGGGTGGACAGTTTCCCAGATGGTACCCTGTCAGACCCTCCTGCCTTTTTTTTTTTTAAGAGACCAAGTCTCACTTTGTTGCCCTGGGTAAAGTGCCATGGCGTCACAGCTCACAGCAACCTCCAGGTCTTAGGCTTAGGTGATTCTCTTGCCTCAGCCTTCTGAGTAGCTAAGACTACAGGTGCCTGCCACAACACCTGGCTAATTTTTATTGCAATTTGGCCGGGGCCAGGTTTGAACACGCCACCCTGGGTATGTGGGGCTGGCACCCTACTCACTGAGCCACAGGCGCTGCCGGACCCTCCTGTTTCATTAAGTCAACACATTTTCAGGGGCTGGGTGGGCACATACTCTCGCTCAGTAAAGAAATAGGGACTATACCAGTCAGTAGGTGGGACAGCTGCTGCTGCCTGAACAAATCCAAGTCCCTGTGGCTCAGCAGAGTCGGAGTTCACTTCTTGCTTTTGCAAATTCAAGAGCAAAGATACAAGCAGCAACTCAGGCCATCTCTCCCCTTGCTGGCTCAGCCTTCTAAGCTGCTTCAACTCTTCTGTCCGTTATGTCAGCACTTAGTCCCACTGTCGCCATGGGAAGGAAGAGAAGAGCTGGAGAGTGACACGCACGTGGCTCCTGGCTACTTTTCCTTGGTCAAGGTGAGGCACATAGTGATGCCTAACTTTATAGAGGGGGAGAGACGTGATCCACTGGTGGGTGCAGAAGACGATGAGAACCACGTGATAAGACGTTGTAGCGTCTACTACAGAGATCACTGAAGCATGCTTGAAAATGAAAACAAATGCTGAAAACAAATGTTCTCTTACCTGTTAACGGAGAATGATCCCCACCTTAGATTTTAAAAAATAGATGAAGGGTTTTCTACTTCTAGCCATGATGAAGTAACAGAGCCTCCTCCCGTCCCCACCAACCTGGCAGCATTCTTAAGAGGAAATCAGACATCATACGTGAAAATATTTGCAGACATCAGACATCAGGAAGTACAGGACTCTGATCATTGGGAGAACATGTAAGGGGAAATACGTAAGGTGAGCCCACGAGAGCTCCTAACTCCCCTGTAATTAGGATGTCCAGGACTGGTAATACTGAATTCGGTATTAATTCATGTCAGAAGCAATGTGTTCAGGGGAATATTTATTACCTGGATCATTTTCAGCAGCTAGAATAAAAAGCAATAAACTAAAAAGGGGGGGGGGGGAAATCACACAAAACCACTAAAAAGTGTTTTGAAAAAGTGCTTTGAGAATTTACTGTACAGTTTTTTAAAACAATTTATTTATACGTTGGCTTCTACATGCTCTTACATTTGTGTAAAACATTTATACATATTCTTTACAATTTGTACATATATTAAATGGCTGTATCATAAACACTGTTCTATGGGATTTTATAAAAGAAAAATCAAGTGGGGAAAATTACTTGTGAAACATTAATGAAAACCCGTGATCTTGAAGATGTTCCTAGATCCACGTCCATCTGATTTCCTCATCTACTCATTTTTTGGTTTCATTTTATTTATGCTGGCCCAGACTTTCCATTTTCTATATTATTATTACGAAAAACGAAAGCAGCAGGAGATAACGTGTAAGGCAGCTGCGGAAGACGGAGGTTCCCGTCGGCAGGAGCGAGACAGTGTGTCTGAGTGCTGGGGTTTAGAGCGGACAGCGTGTCAAGACCGTATTTCTGAAGTGCTGGTGCTCAGGGAAGTTCCGTCTGAGGTTCAGGGCACAGGAGGAGCAGCATTCTGTACTTGGTCTTCAGCACAGGAGCCCAGGGACTCTGCACATGCTCAGACTGTCGCCACTATCACCCCCCCTTCTCAGCCCCTGAACTTTCCATTGGTTGGGGGAAGAGGTGCCAGACTGTGCTTTTTAATCCTATTGACCCCACACTGGCCTGCTGGCCTCCAGTCCCTACAAGCCCAGTCAAGTGGGTGCCACGCTGTCACTAGCACTTGTTACATCTGACAATAGCTGGAAAACACAGAGGGGAGGGGTCCCAGCCCAGAGGGGGCCGCCTTTGCTCCCCCGTGGAGCACTCCTGTGCGGAGCACAGCTACTCATCCCTGGGAGCACAGCCACAGAGTTTTTTTTTTAAAGCCCCCCGACTTTTCTGACTTATTCCTTCTGGCACAAAATATACCTGACCCATGATTAGGAAGGAAGTGCCAAAAGAGAGCACTGGTCCTCACCAAGGGGGATGTGCCAGAAATGACCCTGCTCATCTGCCAAGCGGTATCCCCGAGGGGATGTGTGATGGCCCACTTGCCATAGACCACGAGGGCGCCGGCAGCCCAGGAGCCCCTACTTCCTGCCTCCTGAAACCTAAGCACTCGAGTCATACTGTGTCAGTGGAAGGTACACAGACCTCCCAAAAGGGACAGGAACCCCGAGGACTGAAAAGAGTTATAAAAATATACAAACATATATATTTTTTATTCTGGCATATTTCATATTTTTAAGAAAGCAATTAGTAATTAATTATCTGACATTGGGTAAGAACTTGAAGATTGTAGGTAACTTATAAATTACAATTCTATGTAAAATATCAGTGGGGAAAACCCTGAATTTTTCATTCAAAATTCTGACAGCTTTAAGTACTTTCCAAAAATAGAGACAATTTCCATTGGTTTAAATAACGGATGTGGAAAAGAACAAAAGAAGACCATCCCTAAATTAATGGATGCATTTAGGCTGGTTAATAAAATAAATGCCGTTTTCCACAACTCTTTCTTTTTGGTTTTCCTTCTTTCCTTTTTTTTCCTTTGTGATAATAGGGGGGAAAGTCCGTTTCGAATTGCATTGCCCCAAGTCAGAAAGAAGCACTTCGGAGTTTCCTTCATGTTCCGCTGTGTCCTACATAACTGGAAAGCGACCGAGGGCCTGCCTCAGCTTCTCTGCAATCTGACGCAAAAGAAAGAAATGGAGAGGTTACCCCCAGCTATGACTTCACAGTATCCTACTATTTATAATTCTTAGGAGTTACACATCAACATCAAATTCTCTAACTGGTCTATCTGGCTCGACTCTGCCTCCCCACTGCTGCTGGGGAGCGCTGCTTCAGCCACCACAGCGGTCCTGGCGTCCCCCAGTCTAGCTGGTGTCCACAGCACGCCCGCCTCTGCCAGGCAGCACTACAGACTCCGCGTTTCCTCAGTGGTTCTGCTGGGCCAGCCATTCATGCCTCCTCAAAGCCCCTTTCTTTCTCAGATGAGTATGAACCCTGAAGATTCCCAGGAGATCACCCTCCCTGATAGACCTGGCTCTGCGGTCACACAGTGTGACCATGGCATGCGCCTTTGCTGTGAAGATGAGGCACTGTGATTCCACCATGTGCCTCTGGTTCCCTCAGGAGACCACATGTTCCTGGAGGCACAAATGTGCCACTCATCCCTCTATACCAGGATGAAAATGACCCCCAACCATATTCATTGCTACTTCATGTGACATGAGCAACTCTATTAAAAGGTCGTAGCATTAGGAAGGTTGAGAACCACTGGTCTACACCGAACACTGGGAGCAATCTGTTACTATGTAATAGATATCCAATAATGTTTGCTCCACAGACCAGGGTGCAAGTTTTAGTAATTCAGGGGTTACTTGGCCATAAAGCTATGTTAGATCTGAAACCTGGCAATGTTCTATCAGCCACTTTTATTCATGCAAAGACAGTGATGAAATACATGGTTTTCAATTGCAAATTCATAATGTCATTAATAATTATACCACACTTGGACTTGAAAATTATTTAATAAATCAACATTACCAGAATTTCAACAACTGCCCTTGCATCATCTTTTCGGAGACCAGTATAATCTGCTATACTCTAATACACGATGACAGGCAATGACACAGTGGCACTGATGTATGAAAAAGTGTTTAAGGAACACAGGCGCCGTGTGCTGTGAGGGGGACACTGCATAAGTGAGTCCTCTCCCTAAGCCAGTCTCCCAAACCAGTCATTTCCAACACATGACTCACAAATGCGCCCTGCGCACATCAAGCTCAGCTCCCCTTCAAGGATATGGGAGTCAGGGTCTTGGGCAGTGCCCAGCCCAAAGATGCCATATGCGGGGATGTGAGTCCCAGGCTGGCCTGCCATCACCCCTGAATACGCATGAGCTGGCACCCCCAACAGAGAGAACTCAGGAAGAAACAAGGCAACAGGCAGCTGGTTGTGAAGCGACAGCCCCGGCTGGCAGACGTCTGCGTCCCTATCTGTGGCTGTCAGGCCTCTGTTTTCTTTTCTTTTTTTTTTTTTTTTT